GTTTCACTCGGACGTTTTTTTTTGCGAAACTCGAGCACGAGGACGGCGCGTCGACAAAAACTCCGGAGAAACGTTCCGTTCGTCCCGTTTTTCCTTTTCGGCAATTTTGCAACCATGCGAAAGAACGAGGATCTCCGCGGTTGATGATTGACGCGGGGAAACGAGCATTCGAATGATTCGGCTCGGGGTTTTTATTCGGCCGTTATTCGAGGAACTATGTAGCTTAATGACCGCCGGTAATCGTTACCGGGTAGAGACTCCTTTAATGCGGTTTTCTCGGTAAAAGCGGTTTTTAATTAACCAAATGCCAACGCGAAACGAATCGGGGTACGCGGTTTTATTCGAGGCAACATTGCTGCAGAAACATGTTTTGCGTACCCTCTGGAAACTGTTCTGGTTTGTTGTTCCCGCACGTGAATCCCATACATAGTTGCGAGCGAGTTTCGCCGTATCGCTCGCGGATAGCCTCTCCGAATGTCTTGAGAGATGTCTCGGATAATTTTCTTATAATTAGGTCTTCGTATCGTATAATGCGCAGCCGAACGGTCGCGAGCATCGCGGGGAAGGTCTAATTAGGAAGAATTTCCCCGTTTTAACGAATGATACTCACTAATTAAAGGGTCAGGGCGAGGGGTGCGCGAGGAACGATTTAAAATTTCGATTTCATTATGCAGAACGGTTGCGTCTGTTACGCAGGGAGTGGAACCCGCATCGTCGTGCTCGTTGCACGGAGTACAATTAAAAGTTTCATACGGTTTTCACGGTTTTCTGACTCGAGCCTCGTGTCTTCCGACTTTGATTGAAGCCGGGGGGCGCATCTTTGACGATTAATCACACGGATCGCTGCCTTATGTTTCAATAACGACGCCGAACGCCCCCGAAAGACGAAGATTGCTCGGAAACACCGATAAGCTACGTATCGTGATCGCATTTCAGTTGCCATTCTCCGCGGAAAGACACGTGCTTCCCTGTTTTCGACATTCAATCTATCGTCACGCGATCGCCGGCCCCCCCCTTTCGCCGAGGAGGTCTCCGTCTAGCGGAAAGTCGATCGCCGGGAACCCATTATCGCGGTCCTTTCCACGGTTCGCAAAGGAATTCTGATGACCACGTCCAACGCGTCTGGCGGAAAGTTTCCGTAACGCGATCCGCTCGCGACCTTCCTGTCGCGCGTCGTTAAACTCATCGGACTTACCTTCCAATGCGGAATATATATATCAATTAACCGGTGCCGTTTCTTTTTTCAGCTGGAGGAATCCGAGACGTCCGAGGAGTCGCCGGTCAAGGTAGGAAATCGATCGAAGTGAAATTCTAAAGAGATTGATCGTATTTTTCATTCATGACAGTTATGACTCCGTAGAATGTGATATAGTGCATTCGTAACTATTTGATTACTGTCTTCAGCTTAAGGTCTGTAAGGAAAGAGTTTCATTTAACCTTTGTTTCGTTAACCGTCACTCTCTAGACGAAATGACTATTTTATGTATTCATCTTTAACACTAAACCTACCGAACGGGTCAAAATGACTCATTTGAAATTAGAGACAACAGATATTCCTCTGAGAAAGTATCGAAGAAGTTTTTTCAACAATTCGCAAACTAAATTCTAAATCAATTAGAATCTCTGCACCTTAGAAGTTACTACAGAGGAATTTCGAAAAGTCTGCTCGGTTGGTGAAGTGTTAAGGATCAATGCTCATTCCAATCTACTTCAACCTAGAATTCTCTTCGGAAAATCTGCATGTTGCATCAACGTCTACCTAGCGTATCGCAAATTCTCCAATGGTTCACGATAAACAACAATAAGCCAATAGTACATCTAAAAATGCAATTAATGGATTAACCCTTGGCACTCCAGGTTGTTTTGTAATCTATCAGCAGCTGCAACTAATTTCTATAGTATTCCCAGCGAAAACGAGAAATGCTATAACATTTCTTCGATCTTTTATTTTCCTTCTCACTGCAAAATTTGGATGTGTGGAAAATCTAATAATTTCAGGGTATCTTAACACTAAAACTACCAGACGGCTCAAATGACCCATGATGTCTTTTTGCAATTATTAGAAAGGTAACGAATGTTTCTCGGAGAAATTAAAGAAATTCATTTAGCACTACGCAAATTGAATTGTAAATCAATGAAAGTCTGAGCATGCGCTCTTGGAGTTTCTATAAATTTTCAAAAGTCAGTTGAACTGCTCGGTAGTTTTAGCGTTAAGATTCATTAAAATATTCAATGTTACAACTGGTGCAGTATCGGAGCCTACAGAGTTCAAAGGGTTAAACCGCGTTCCATCGGTCGACATTTGTCTTGTTCGATCGACCCCTGAAATGTGCCAGCGTAAAGGTGTCCTCCGCAACGACCCAGTTTCCACTGGCGTTGCGTCGGGATTGCGGCACGGGGATGCGACCCCCTCGACCTTTACTTTCGCCGGCGATATCGTTCGATTTATATTAAATATCCTCGCGTGTGCTCGATCCCGACGCAGCGGCCGTGCACGTCCCGGACCGACCGGCGAATGCAATTACAGCCGCATCCACGTCGGAACTGGGACAACCCCTCGGAGTGTCGCTCGTCCTCCAGAGTTTGGGGGGAGGTGGAGTCTTGCCAAGGAGCGGAACGACGCTGGAGGGAAGCGTACGTGGCCAGGTACATGCACGTCTGCAATAACGGACCACTCGGGCAGGGAAGAGGGGTTCAACGTCGCTGGCTACGTTATTTAAACCCTTCACTTGCAATAACGAGCAACACTGCTGAAGTCTTGTACCTTTTTTCGTACTTCAGCAGATGTATGTGTGATCTGTACAGGTGCAGAGTTTATCTGTATCCTCGTGTCGTTTGTGCGTCGGTCTTGGAAAGGGTTGCTTTTTAGTTCTTGATCTTTCTTCCGGTGGTCATAGGTGATTTAAGTATCGATGCTCATTGGAAATCGGAGATTTGGGTGAGAAGATTGAGAAGTTTGAGAATATATGATTTTTGTGATATTGATGTAATGTAGTTTCGAAGGTGACAATTTTCAAAGGCAAGAAATTATTATTCTGGAAAGGGTTGAAATTGGTAGTTAGAAGACAAACTTTACTCAAACGATTCAAGGAACGTATGGGATTTTAACCATTGATTATATCAATTCTTCAGATCCACGGTAGATTTAAAGTACGTTTTGTTACTCAAACGCCAACAGTTCAAGAAACGTATCAGATTGTACCGATTACAACATCAATTCTCAAGAGACCCACGGTATATTAAAAGAAACATTTCGTTACTCAACCGCCAACAGTTCAAGAAACATATCAGATTGTATCGATTACGATATCAATTCTCAAGAGACCCACGGTATATTAAAGAAAAAATATTTCCTTACTCAACCGCCAACAGTTCAAGAAACATATCAGATTGTACCGATTACATCAATTCTCAAGAGACCCACCGTATATTAAAAAAAAATATTTCCTTACTCAACCGCCAACAGTTGAAACATCAAATTTTACTGATTACGATATCAATTCCCAAGAGATCCACGCTATAACCCTTTGCACTCGGAAGTATTTCGTTAGCAATACTCAACATTTTCTAACTAGACGAAGACAATGGTTTCATTTAAATGAATTCAAAGAGAAACCACAGGTAAATTGAGAAACAAGTTCAATATTAAATATTAAATTTTCTAATTATACTGCGTCGAATCAAATGGCGACCGAGAGTCACCTCCCGAGTGCAAAGGGTTAAAAACAAAAGCATTTCCTTACTCAACCGCCGACAGTCCAAGAAACATCAAATTTCACCGATTACCAGTATCAACTCCCAATCGCGTGAATAACAATCCACGGTGGATTTTCAGCCCGTTAGAGGTTAGTTTCAAGAACTTCAACGCTAAGAGCCGTTCGGCTAAGAAGCGTTCAGCGCCGCATAAGCGAGGAGGACGACGGGGCGAGGCGGCACCGCGAAAACAAGCATCGAAACAGGTTATCGTCCTCGGCGGTATCTCGGCCGATTTCGGGGTGGTGTGCGCGGCGCGCTGTAACCCCGTGGCTCTACGTGCCTGCGCCCTCCTCCGGGGCCTTCAATTACCGCGAGGACGTCGCGACAAGCCGCCCCCGTGCCCGCGCCAACCCCCGATCGCAGCCTAGCAGGCCCTGACGTAAAGTATGACGCGCGGAGTAATTTTAATTACGCGATGCAGCGGGCCTGAATTGTTGCTACCGGGAGCTTCAGACATATTGGACTAATTCACGTCATTCGGGCGACACTTATTAAACCCGGGAATGCCGTCAGCCTTAATCCTTGTAGAATGCAAGATGAGCCGCGGCGCGCGCCCTCCTCGCAAGGAGCGCCCTGGAAACGGGAGCGAAAGGGTGAGGGAGGACGTGATAATCTCCGAGGCGAGCAACGGGGAAGTTTCTCCCGCGAGTCCTTCAGTTCTTCCTGTCTACTTCCGAATAATGGACCGGCTATTTTCGCTCCACCGGGGAACGGTTTGTTGTCGTTGCCGGATCATTTTTAAGTACCTTTCCTGTCTCGCTAGGTGTACACTTTGAGCCACTTCCGGCGTCGAGTGCCGTTGAACCTTTGGATCTCTGCTTGATCGCCATTTTTCTTTGGTCTCGTGTCTGCTGGAGGCTACGAGCTTCTCGCTGGTTACTCTAGATTTCTCGCGTAAGTTCGTTTGGTATGGTACTCTTGTTTATTGTGTTATTGGGGATTATTTAGAGTTGTTTACCGTTTACCTTAATAATACTCTGTATTCGGGTTTAGATTTGACTAGAGATCGTAGTCTTTCTTAGAAGTTGATCTTAGTTCTCGCGTAACTTGATTTATAATGGCACTCTCGTCTATTGTGGTATTATTAGGAACTATTTATTCCAGTTATTTATTGTTTATCTTATTAGTACTCTGTCCATTATTCTCTCGTAACTTTACTCGCAATGGTACTCTTATTTATCATAGTATCAGAGACTATTCTGGACATCTATATTTTACCTTAACAATCCATATTTATATCTAAATTTTAGAGACCATACCCTTTCTACTATTACAAATCGATCTTTGCTCCATTTTCCAATTACTCGAATTCCCCGCAACGTTCCGTCCTCCAAGAAAGTCCAGCTAATATATAAAAATGACCACGGTAGACAGCGAAGCGATCGCGTACGAGCGTAAGGAACTCGTTCGCGGAGCAGCTGTGAATATTCAAGGGGTGCGCGGAGGTCACGGCGATTATTTAATAATTTATAGATGATCGCGACGATTGCCCGGGCATTAATGTGAACGCGAGCGAGTCCGTCCGTCCGCGGCGCGGCGTAGCGCGTCGGCTTGGCGACTGTAATACCGTCACGGCGGTGTGGTCAGCGTGTCACGTCACGGGACTTCAGAGCCGGAGCCGTCACGGTCCGCGAGAGGATCGTTATATTAATTTAGGGCTAGCGCTCATTAAAACTTAACGATAGCGCTCGTTATCCTCGCCCGATAACGACGTACGCGCCGATTATTATTCGCCGATTATGTCGTGCAGCGTTTTGTTTCGCCTTCGTTACCGTGGCCCAAAGCGGACCGATTATTACGGGGCTCCGCTCTTTTCCCGCCGATGGCCTCTCAATACGCCTCCGGAGCCGCTACAATCGAACCGGTACGTCCGTGTGTCCGTATTACATGTCTCTTCCCTTCGAGACGATCGCGCCGGAGGACTGTCGGTTTCGTTAACCGGTTTCGTCCGATTCGGCTGGCAGCGATTTCTGTGATCCTTCGACTGTGTGTTTTCTAAACGATCCGAGACGAATTCGATTAACGCTGGACAACTGTACGCTTCGATGTTACGTGGATCGTATCGGTACATCTCGAACGAACGCGAAAACGAAGAGCTATCGAGAAATCGAAGTGAACTCGGATGACGTGTTAACTTGTCATTCCCCGGGAGACAGCTCGAAAGGTCTTCAATAAGAGAACACTGTGTTTTCGTCGAGTTTCTCGGGGAAGGAACCGCTCGCAGGGCAGAATGGGTTAATTTCGTGACACAGGGGAGACTGCGGGTAAAAGTTTCGATTTAGAGGAAAGAAAAAAATTGATCCACGCGAATGGCCGTTGCGAACGCTACTGAGATGGATGGCGGAATAACGTGATCGACTCACGTGACCGGAGCAATTGAACGCATAACGCCATTTCGCTGTTTTCTTTGGAGATACGGCCGTCAGGGCAATTTACCCCGGGAGTTTTTCGCCGGCGGAGAATATTTACCCTTCCCCGGTGTTTCAGTAATCGTCGGTTCGCCGTTCTCCCAGTCCAGCGTTAAAATTTAA